GGAGAATGATGGACAAATTCGTGGTGGATACACTGCAGCCTGCCATGTTGCTGGATTCCGCGAATCACGACAGAGTTATGAACGGGAAGAACGTCGGAAGTCCTAGCAGCATCATGGCGGTGCTGGATTTTGTTTCGTACAAGAAAGGTACGAACTTCGTTCAAGTTTTTACCAAATAATTTAGCTTTATAATTTAGAGAGAAACCTTGGTGTAGTGTAAAATATATTCTCTTGCCATGTAAGAGATTATGTTCAATGTACAATTTGCGATGGTAGTTGGCAGGATTAAAATTAGTCTTTAGTTGCAATCGAATAATTTCATTCTTCATGATCGTTGTATAGATAGACAGATAAATATAGTATAGATGGATAGATAGATAAATTTTTTATCAAATAATTTAGCTTTATAATTTAGAGAGAAATCTTGGTGTAGTATAACGTGTAAAAATATATTCTCTTGCCATGTAAGAGATTATGTTCAATGTATAATTTGCGATGGTAGTTGGCAGGATTAAAATTAGTCTAGAAATTAGTCTAGTTGCAATCGAATAATTTCATTCTTCATGATCGTTGTATAGATAGATAGATAAATATAGTATGGATGGATAGATAGATAAATTTTTTATCAAATAATTTAGCTCTATAATTTAGAGAGAAACCTTGATGTAGTGTAAAATATATTCTCTTGCCGTGTAAGAGATTATGTTCAATGTATAATTTGCGATGGTAGTTGGCAGGTTTAAAATTAGTCTAGAAATTAGTCTTTAGTTGCAATCGAATAATTTCTTTCTTCATGATCATTGTATAGATAGATAGATAAATAAATTTTTTATCAAATTTAGCTTTATAATTTAGAGAGAAACCTTGGTGTAATGTAAAATATATTCTCTTGCCATGTAAGAGATTATGCTCAATGTATAATTTGCGATGGTAGTTGGCAGGATTAAAATTAGTCTAGAAATTAGTCTTTAGTTGCAATCGAATAATTTCATTCTTCATGATCGTTCTATAGATAGAATATTATGACACACATGACTTCATTGACTTTTGAAATCGAATGGTAAAATACAACACGAAGAAAATACGATACATCATAAAAATGTACATTATCAAAATTATCTTGCTACTTTAAGCTCTTTAGATAAAGTCAGAAATACTACTATATTTTTCTAATTAATTCTAATTTCTAGTAAGTGTGCTATTAACTAATTAGTAATCCTTACTAATTCATAATTGTGAATGTAGTTGTCAGTTATCGATCCATAGTGTGATGCATCAAATCTAGTAATACTTGATTATTTATTTCTCTACTTTGTTCCAAGTTGTTGATTGGTTTTCACTTATGAGAATCAGCAACTCGATAAACTATGAATCGATACTGAAAACAGCAACTGAAAACGATCGTGTGAACTTCTGTTTCAGGTGCATCTGTGATTCGCATGCTCTCTCACGTGATCGGTGAATCAGCGTTTCGAGATGGTTTACGAAGCTATGTGAAAAACATGTGAGCATTTTACAAAATGAGACATCATCCTGCTTCTCGCTAATAATACGAAAGAATTCATTTATTAATTTTTAATTATTTTCATTAGCTTTCGATCTGTATTTTGTATACTTCATTCAAGCCCTATGTGCGCAATTAATTTCGTAATATTCGTACATCGAATATTTTGAAACAATATGTACGTAAGTTTGAAATATAATATATAATAAAGGAAGCGTCGAATTAATTTAGATCGTCGCGGGATTATATCTTATCAATTTGAAAAAACTAGATAAAGCTTCTACGCATTTTATAATAAACGAACAAAAGCTGCAATGATGTCAGCAATATTTTTGCTCAGTGAGTCGAGTATTTCACAAAGTATTGCGATAATTTACATTATTTTTAAATAACATGAAAAAACGAGTTTCACGCTTTTGTGAATACAGTTGAGAAAAAATGAAACTTAAGCAGAAATTTGTTGCAAGAAATATTCTGTTATTAAATTTTATACCATAATTTATACATTTTTGTATATTTACGTATTCTTCTAAATGCATAAAAATTCGCAATATACAGTTACAACATTTACAACCTCTGGCAAAATCCGATTTACACGTCGTCGATTGACATCACTGTCACAATTATTCAATAAATCCTGTAACGCCTGTAAAAATAATTAAATGCCAAAGGAATGAAAAATTAAAGAAAGGGGTTGAAATTATTTTTAAAAGTTACAGAAAATTTGAAAAATTAAGGAAGAAATTAATTTTGGAAACTAAGAGAAACTGTTTTTCGCGAAAGCAGGTCGTACGATGCAGCTACACCACGTGACTTGTACAGACATCTGCAAAGTTCCACTGACAACCACGGTCAATTGCCGAGCCATATGTCGATTAAAGATGTCATGGAAACCTGGACAAACCAACCAGGATATCCTTTGGTGACTGTCACTAGGAATTACGAAATGCGAACGTTGACCGTGTCGCAGGAACGGTTTCGCTGGAACAAATCTCGCGATCAGTCGCAGTCAGAATTTAAATGGTGGATACCATTGACTTTCACTACTGAAACAGCCAGGAATTTCTCCGCCACAACACCGCGATATTGGTTGAAGCCAAGAGATGAAAATTTAACAACGCCGCTCCATATTCCCTCGAACAGATGGATTGTTTTCAACGTCCAGCATACTGGATATTATCGAGTGAATTACGATGAAGACAATTGGCGAGTGATCACGCGTTACTTGAGTTCGAAAGATTTCCCCAAGATACACCGAGCGAACAGAGCTGCTCTTATAGACGACGCGTTTAATTTAGCCAGAGCAGGTTACGTAGATTATCCGATTGCATTTAATCTCTCGATGTATCTGGTCCAAGAGGTCGATTACGAACCGTGGGTCGCCGCTGTCAATAATTTGAAATTCTTGAATAACATGCTGAGCGGGACGAGCGTGCAACGAGCTTTTCAAGTAAGTGTCTAGCAATGGATGAGAGAAATAACCATTGAAAATTTCGGGGCTAAACATTGAGACACTCTGAAAGTTAACTGTAAAAATGATTGGAACTTTTAAAAATTGAATTAAAATTAAATTCAAAATTATTAGAAATTTTTGCTCAAATCAACAACAATATTAAATCAATTACATTTAATTAATTGTATTAAATTAGAGGCAATGACATATTTTGGCATAGTGATTAGCATTGAATTAATTTAATTGCGTATCTCACAAAATTTGATCCTAAGACTATAACACAATTATCAATCGAAATATGGTTGCAAAATAAAATTTTGTTGCCTGATAATTATTCACAGCTTTCGTACAGTTGCTTCACATTTCAATGACAATTTTTCATCACCTCGGTTTCACGAAGCGACTCACAATCATTAAGTACAAATTCTGTTGAACAACAGGAGTATGCGACTCGTTTATTACAACCAATGTACAAGCAACTGAATTTCACGGATTCTAAGGACGAGGATATTACCGCAAAATTGAACAAAGAGCTAATCTTAACAACTTCCTGTTTAGTACGCAGCGTCGATTGTTTAAACGTCTCGGAATCATTGTTTCGCAATTGGATCACGAGGATTAATGAAACGTATGAAATATTTGATATTATCAATCTTATAAAATATAATTTATACGAAACGTTGTTCTTTTTAAAGAACAGAACGAGAAATTTGCGTGATATTAAGAAACAGATAGGACAATTTTATCTTGATATCTTCAGTTATCCAAATTGCAAAATTATTCATATATTTCTGGAAATATAGATTAGATGCTTGTGAGAATTAATTTTATTTTCTATAAAATAATGGATTTTGTGGAAAGTAACAATTAAATAAATAAATGATTAATTTCTTTTAAATCTTAAGTTATAAGGCGGAGTTACATATTTCCGGAATTACAGATTAGATATTTAAGAAAATTAAAATCGATTAGATAGCAAGATATTTAAAGTGTATGTTCATGCTTTATATAAAATATTGTGCAAATCCATTTGATATTACTTGAAAATTTTACACATAAAATTTGCATATAAAAGAATAACTAAGGTATTTTAATAATCGATTGTTCAAATCAATACCTTGATGATTTTTGGAGATGTGAATTTGCAACGAAATATTAATATATTATAATAGAAAAATTTATATAATTATGTTATTAAAAAAACATTAGTCGCCGAATTATTGATGCACTTTGTATCACGCAAATTATTGAACCACGCTTGATACACTCGTAACACGTACAATGAAAATTTCTAACCATTATACGATAATCACCTTACATTATGCATAAATAATGATCAATTTCACTTGTTCCTGTTAGTATACCGCGAGATGTTAAGAGTTTCGTTTATTGCGAGGGAATTCGTAGCGGAAGCGAAGAAGATTGGTACTTAGTGATGGACAGATGGTTGAATACCGATCTACAGACTGAGCAAGATCTATTGTTGCAAGGCCTTGGATGTACACGAGAATCTGGTTTGATCAAATCGTAAGCTTTCAATCTTAATGTTCGTTTAATCTAAGAATTCTATATTAATTTCTTTAACTAATCGCTCGCCAGAGGAATTGTAATAGCTAGAAATTTGGGATTTCACGAGTCTAAGAATTCCCGGATCGTTTTGTTTCTTGAGTTGTTAAAGTTGTTAAAGAAAACAAACAAAATAAATTCCTCGTTTTCGCGCGATTATTCTAATTCCTTTTAGCGAGCAGTGTGCATTGATAAATGATATATTACAATATTCCAATAATCAATTTAGATACCCAGATTACACGTATTATTGCAGATCGTGTGATAATTGAAATCTGATTTGAAACTGATTTGAATATGCAATTGGAATCAGAGTCAGTTCAAAGAAAAATTTACATTCAATCAATTCAATCTTTAATCTGTTGAATTGTTTTTTCACAGGTATCTCGAATTATCAGTAACAGATGAGCAAAATGTCCGTAAGCAGCAGAGAATGATGATAGTGAATGCCATTCTAGATGGGAATGTCGAGAGCGTGGATCACGTTTTGGAATTCGTTCGATCGAATTTGCAGGAGATCATCAAAATGTACGTATATACTTTTAACTTTGAATTACTTTTCGTATTTCCTACATTTCAATCAATAATAAATCAATAACAGATTAAGAATTTTTAAACATTCGAGAACATAATTAAAAGAACGTAGGTAGAAATTTGATTCTTCTACTGAACACTTTGTACATTTCACATATTTTTGCTACATGTTTTCGATCAAACAGAAGTGTTCGAAGTGTTTCACGTTTCACAGATTAAGAATCGGTGAATTCATTTTTTCCCCGTGTATTTCAAACGAGCACAGTGGAATTTTATATCTTGAATGTGTCGTTTTTGCATTTTTGCACTTTCCAACTTTCCACAAATTCAGTCGAGTAATCAATAATAAATAATAAATAATTTATTTGCTCGTCAGATGCTGAAAGAAGATACATGTTGAATAAAGACGAGTGTATTTCTGATTTTATTATATGCTCCTCATTTGATGTTATATAAATTTTTAGACTTTCGATAACTTTAAACGCCCAAAGGGGGGCGTTTAATCTCAATAATAGTCAAGTCGCGAGTTTTCTTTGCGATAAATGTGAAATTCTCGTTGCAGGAGAGGAAACGATTTTTTGGGAAAGATAATTAGCGGTATCGGGCAAAGGATGAGAACGGCGAAACAAACAGAAACGGTGAATACTTCTCAGTTATTTATATTTAAATATTCGATCCTATGTATAAGTACCTGTGCTAATAAATTGAATTATTATTTAATTACTTTCATTGCAGCTACGTGCTTTTATTCAAGAACATTCTAAACAATTGGGATCAACATTGGATACAGCGAAGAAGGCACTCTCCGTGGCCTTGGAAAACGTGGAATGGATTAAGAATTACTTGCCTAGTATCGTTAAATACTTCAGTTAACGCGCCCATGCGGTAATCGACAACAATCTGTTACAGTGGAATTGTAACAAACCGAAGAAAAAGAAGAATTTAATAAAACAATTGTACATTATCCAATAAAAATATATCCTTCGTTATAACAGCCACTTTTGTTGTGCAATCGTTTTATATAATTAACTTAAGCTGAAGCATCTTTCAAGTATTGTTTCAAAGACTGTTTCGATCATTATTATCTTTGGTATCATTACATACTTACATGTGTCTTTATCTCTCGCCCGTACGCGCATTCGATCAACATCAGATAACGGATGAAATTCTCGCAGAAATCTCGAAGGCATTGTTCGTCGAGAATCGAATTCGTTCACGTAGTCGAAAAGAAATCATTCCACGCCCAAATGGTTGCACAGATTACGTAAATACAATTTCAAAATGAATCACATGGAACGATAAAAGCTCGAACGAGAGTGTTCACATTCAGTGTTCGCGGAATGCTGAGATGTTAAATTGAATGATTAATCAACAAATTGTGCGAAATTTTAGAAGTAAAAAAAAATATATATAAAAGTGTATAAAATAGAATTATTAGTCATAATTTTTAGTGAAACAATTTCTATTTAGGCTTGTGTCCGTAAAGATATGAATTTGAATGAAAACAATTAATCGACGCCAAAGAAAACAGAAATTTATTATAAATGTGAGACTTCACGATTTCAAATACGAACCAATGAATGTAAAAATCTAAAATGTTTTTAGAAGTTTACGTGACTTGTTACATCATCTTTCGTCTATAATTTGCAGTTTTACGAAGACACTTAAACTTAGGAATTTTTCTTTTCGTATTTTTTTTTTTTTTTTTTTTTTTAAACTTTCTTTTAAATCCTCGCCGGATTTTTCTAAGACACAATTTCCGTAACATACTTCTCGCACCTGGGAAATTAATAATTTATCTCGTTGAATCGCGTCATGGGAGACAATGATTTATTTCGTAGGTGTTTCGCGCGGACGAACTTAATCGACTCGATGCAAGGAAAAATTCGAGTGCATTTCTTTCGAAGGAAAAAGAGAATAACGTACGAACGGTTGCGATAAAAAACTTATCACACTATCTATCTTACTGAGTCAAAACGGAGAATTACCTGACGTAACAAAATCATTCGAACGATAAACCAAAACGGGAAGAGGCGAACTGACAACAACTCGGACCTGTATCTATCTAATTTGAACGCTATTCGACACATAAAATCATATCGCGTACATTACCATCGTATGTCTTCATATTATTCGATAAAGTCGTGATGAGCTCTTGTTTCGAAAAAATGTCATAGATTCATAGAAGATGTACAACATTTTCATAGATATAGAATATCTTTTCTGGCCACCATTCAGCTAGATGTAATAACTTCGATCGTGACAACGCGCCGATTGATAAGATTACGAATGTTGGATAGATTTTTTGATAATATGCCTAGCGCTTGCCTTATAAAGCACGAACACTTGTACTCGTAGACTCTCGAAAGACAATCGTCGACGCGTTTCGGATAGTCGGCTGACTGATTCATTCATCTGTAAGGTACGTTCAACTAATATTTTCACAACGATGATCAGGAAATTTACACTTCGTGAACGACCACAGACAGAGAAGTTAATTAGATGTTCTTCTTTTTTTTTTTTTTTTACTGTTAAATCATATGCAGATCACGCATTTGTCGATTTCATTTGTGTTCATTCGCGATATTTTCTTCTCGTTCGTGTTTCTACATCTATCGAAACGTTGTGTATAAATATTATAATTCGAACACTTTGCAATTTGCAAATATTCTTCTGTTAATTTTCCACGTCAATTGCTACAACTGAGATGAGATTCTACTAAATTTAATTCGAAACGAGAAATATATCTATACTGAAAAATATTCATTTATGAATAGCTGACACTTTATAATATTTTACAAATGTCTGTGTAAAATATATTAAGCTTCTCTGTAAAATCTTCAGTCATTTTCAATTATTTATATTAATATTAATTGATATCGACTATTTTATTAACCGTGCAAGTTCAAATTAAATTAAAAATAATAATTTTTCAAACTTTTTCAACTCAAAGTGTTATGCATGATGTTGTACATAAGCACGAATATTGGAAAAATATATCGCGGACTTCGAACGATTTAAGTGTTATCGATATTGAAATACGAGCGTTTACTCACGTCCATAAGTTATCTGACGTGTTCGCTCATTTCGAACAAATGATTTACAACACTGATATAATTCGCTCGCAAGTTACGCTTAATTTTATTCATCACGCCTTAACGTGAAATTAATAATAATAAAAGTTAGTCAAAATAACTGTTAACGACTGAAATTTGAAATCCTCAACAAGCTTATTTAAAAGAAAAAAATGAAAAAAATGAACTCTTGATTAACTATAAAAAGCACAGTCGGACAATGTTACGTTGCAGAAGAGTAACACGTTAACTGTGTTCATATTATTTACTTTCTGGAATTCAAAAATCAAAGAACTGAACGATTAATAAATCAAATTTTCGAATAAGATAAATCTTATACTTAGAGGAATTTTTCAACAACGCGACAGATTAAAAATTATGTAAATTATATATGTAAAATTCACTCGTCGCCGTTAACGTGTTAATAGAAATAATATACTACTGCAAAATAACCGATCCGAAGCTTAAAGAAAGTCTGTATAAATAATTCAATGCTGTAGAGATTTCGAAAATATCAATTATCGATTATGATGCAGATGGCAAGATGAATCATCATCTTCCGGCACCCCGATTTAGAAAACTGTAATTGATTACATATTAATATTCATAATACGTAAATCGTAGTTGCATCCTAATTTTGTCAAGTGATATTATCCGGTGTTTCGTGGACCAGAGTGTACGTTCAAATTAACGTAACTACGCGCGATCGACATCGAGCGTAGTCACGTTAGTTTGTCATCGAGCCAAAGATCAACAAATCGGCATCGACGGTATGTAACAAGTGACATGTGTTTGACGAAACAGAGAATAAGAGAGCTGGACCATCCAGTGGACCCAGGATGGCAAGAATATTGATACCGTTGCTCGTCAGCCTGACGTTCGCGAGTCTTGCACGCGGAGATCCGGTCAGCCCTCGAGCGAGCGATTCGAAGTACAGACTGCCACTGGAAGCCGTACCAACGCGTTACAACTTAGCTTTGACAGTAGATATGAAAAACTACAGTTTCTCCGGCATTATACAGGCCAATATCACGGCGAGCAGAGATAGCTACACTATAACGCTGAATGCGAAGAATCTTACTATAAACGACGTTCACATGGTTAATTCGTCTGGTGGACTACAAAATCTGAGCCAGATCGATCTAGATGACAGATACGAGATTCTGACCGTCAACCTCCGCGAGAAGATCGTCCAAGGTCAGCATTATCTTCTCACGATAAGTTATAATGGTACCTTGAACGATCAACTGAGAGGATTCTACAAGAGCAGATCTACCACGAAGAACGGCACGCAGACGTAAGGATAGCTTTTCTGTAAATGTTCGAGCTTCTCGTCGGATAGATCTTTCACTCTTGTATTCCAGAAAAACCTTGGACGTAATAAGTCACGTGATTGAAATATATTTTGAAATACAAGGTGAAAGATGTGACCGGGTCCACTCAATTACTTATTTATTTATTCATTCATTCGTTTATCCATCCTTTAACGAATAACTTGAATAAGATACAAATATAAAGGAAAGAATCTTCAGAAAAAATGATATTCATCTAAGTTAACATTCGATGAAGCCCTTCCTTTGAAAATCGTTCGTTTCGTATACAGTTAGAAAATTACACGAAGATGTTACATTTCATTAGTCGTTACTTCAGCCATCGAGGCATCGATTCTTTATCTTTTGGCAAACCGATTAGCTATTTTGAGAGGAAATGCTCGTTCTCACGTTACAGATACGTGGCAGCGACTCATTTCGAGCCAACCAGTGCACGATTGGCGTTCCCCTGCTGGGACGAGCCGGCAATCAAGGCGCCATTCGAAATTATCATATTGAATTCGGACGCCTACCAAGCGATATCGAACATGAAAGAAATCAATAATACGGTGGTGAACAACTTGCGCACCACCACGTTTGAAGTAACACCACCGATCTCCACTTATTTAGTGGCGTTCGTAGTGTCGGATTACGAGTACACGCAGAATACAAGTAAAGGGATGCAATTCAGAGTTTGGACGAAGCCAAGCTCGATCAATCAAACGAAATACGCCCTGGGCGAAGGTCAGAGATTGCTGGAGAAGATGGACGAATACACGAACATCAAATTCAGCGCTTACATTACAAAGATGGATCAAGTGTCGCTGAGAGATTTCTCGGCGGGCGCTATGGAGAATTGGGGTCTCGTCACTTACAGGTAATTATCGCAGCGATCAAATTAGTAGAGTCTGATTAAACGTTTTTTTTTTTTTTTCAAATCGGATCGAAGTACAAGTTTCAACGTCGAGCTCGTCGAGTGCTCCTCGAGCGTATCGAGTAATGATCCTTAAAAAGCTGATACGATAAGTAAAGAATAGGTTGATTCTATTTCTCAGGAAACGAAATATTTTCGCTCGGGATTGGCTACATTATAACTAATTCAATTATATAAGTATATTTCGTTAATGCAGACATTCGTGCAAACACGGTTTATCTCTTAATCTGCCTTAGTATGAAATTGGTTTACTTATTGCAGGTTTAAATAGATAAACATATTTTCAACGTAGACTGAATATAATATACAACATACATAACATATATTGAATGAATATGTGTTTTCCCACAAATTAATAATCCAATAATATATAATACAGTATCGTTAATAATTAAATTTAACTCGTGTTCTGAACGCGTTCTTTTAAATTATTTCTCAAGTCCAGTACAGAGAATTTCATTCGTTAATAAAAATGTCGGTGATAAAATTGATTATTGCCTTTTACATTTGAAATAAATTTCCTTAATAATTAGGCCTACCACAGAAATATTTCCGTATAATTTACTTCGAAAGCCAATGTAATCATTCGAAGAATGTACGATTTTATGCTATCTTGTTAGATAAAAGCTACGCTTGCAACGTTTCGAAAGAGTTTTGTTCACTGTTTTACCTTTCGTTTCGCTTTATAGAGTACAGTCTCAAACTTTTGATTGTAGAGAGTCGGCACTTCTTGCCGAAGAGGGTGTGAGCTCGGTTCGCGCGAGGCAGAGGGTGACTACGATCATAGCACACGAATTCGCTCATCAATGGTTCGGAAATCTCGTTAGCCCGAAATGGTGGACGTACATCTGGTTGAACGAAGGATTCGCCGACTATTACGAGTATTTTCTTACTCACGAGGTGAGTGAAACAGTTGTCTCTACTATTCGTATTCTACTACTATTTTGTTATTAGAGGATACTCGTAAAATCGATGACAACGTTTGTCGTCTGCGGGAAATTTTAATTACGAGTTACCTGGAGTGACTATTTCACCTATGTTTCTTATCTCTGTATCAACTAATAAGCGCAGCGACAAACAGAAGAAACTTGAAAAAAAAAAAACAAGTGCCGCGTGATAAGACGTAATTTTATAAAATGTGATTACATTCGACAAAAACATTTAATAGATATGATGATGTACATCTCAGACTAATATCGATAAAAAAAATTTTATCCTATTTGCTAGAAAAGTAAAAATCTGTTTCGCGAGTACACTGTGTCTTAAAAATTACAATATCGCATGTGTACGTTGTAGTATAAAAATTTTTTTCGCAAAAAGAATTTTATTAATGTGTATAATTCAAATGAAATGAAATAGAATCATTTAATTTCTTTTATCTAAAGAGATTTAATTTTTTTTTTTTCGTTTACATTTAAATGGTAAAACGGAATAATCTCACTTTAAGAAAAGAATTTTATTAATGTGTAACTTAAATTATGAAATAGAAGTTACTGTTAAAATTATGGAATTCTTATTTACTTATTTTGTGAAATAGAACAGGAATAAAAATAATTTCATTCTGGCCGAAAGTTTTCAGTGGCCACCACTATGCGAATGCGTATCAAATTTTCTCTTGTTCGATAGCTGTATACATATGTCTTACAGTTCTCGTCAAATATTACAATCACGTTCTTCCATCTATGTCTGACATTTGTAATAATTTTCGTAGATAAGACCCGAATGGCGATTGGACGATGTGTTTGTCGTGAACAACATACAAGGGACCGCTTTTGTCGCGGACACGGTGGAAAATCAACGGCCCATGAACCATGAGGTGAACACGCCTCAAGAAATCAGTAACCTGTTCGACAATATCGCCTACCAGAAATGTGAGATACTTTATCGAAACGTGTTATTAGAAATAATTTCTGTTACACATGTCCCAGAGTATTAGCGTTTTTATCATCAGATAAAAAGAGAAAAGAAGACGAAAAGAAAAAAGGAAAGGAAAAAGAGAGACGAGTGCGAACAAACACCGGTATTAGCTTTCAATAATTTTCAATTTACAATACGTAGATAATACGTACCTATCTTATCAATCAATTAATACGTTAAATCTTTGGCCTAAATATTATCAGATGAATGATAAAAGGTAAGACTGTCGACGATAGCGAGCCGAGAGTCGTAAACTCGCGAATCATTGTTCGCGTAAAAACTGTCGTTAGAAAATGCGCACACTGCCAGTCGTGCAAAATTATATTTGGAATTTTATTCCAAATAGAGTCACGAGACACGATTATTATCACGATTAATTTCTAATTAATATCGTTCGAAGATTGTGAGAATTTACAAGAGCTTAGAGACTGTATGAATTTGGAATTTTAAATTGAAATTTCTCAATTAATTTGAATCTTAATCGCGGAGAATAGAGAATAAACATTCTTAATTATAGAAAACACAATTAAATATTCTTTAAACTTTCGTCACGTAATTAAATTATTAATTGTGCATAGCATAACGATATCACTAAATTTGAAATCAATTTGAAAATGTATGATTACATGGACAAGATTAAATGGAATCTATCAATAGTATTAATTAGTACAGTGATAAGCAAAAGGAAAAGGCAAATAATACTAGGAGATAATCTGTGATATTATAAAATAGAATTGCATTTAGCGAAATAAGGATATTTTTTTTGTGACTAAATTTATCATGATCTTGAAAATCAAAGCCTCCTTCTTACGATTCTTTAAAATTTACAGTGTCATTTTTCTTTTTTTTACTATTCTATTGAATTTTGAATATAGAGTTAAATGTTAGAATGTCTCGAATTTTTGTCGTTTACGTTCAAAGTTCAATAAAACAATAAAAAAAAATCACGCAATAAGTTCTGAGAAATCGTTGTAAAGAGAAGATTTCAATCATCAAAACCATGATGGATCCAGTCATGAAAAATATTTTTTAATATCTTTACAGACAATCAAATTTTACAATTTTCAAGAAAAAAATATCTTTCTTTCTTTAATCGCGGCGTAATCGTTTTCGAGCAGAACAAACTCAAGGCCGAGAAATAGTCTAGAAAACAAAATAAGGCCAAGTGAACTGTTATACATTGTTTTATTACGATACAATTTAAATAATCGGTAACTCTTCGTCGTTGTTGATTCAATTATGCTCTTCACTGAATGTCTCATTATATAAAATCTTTTAATATAAAAGCTATTCTACACTTTCGTGACTTGAATATCATAACCCTAACTACATGTGTAATTTACATCCGAGCTAATTAAACATCCATCGTACATTAATATGATGAAATGAAGAAATTAAAGGGAAAGAATAAGAGAAATAAAGAGAAAAAAAAACGAAAGAAATAATTTAGCTTCTGAGAAGATCACACGTGACTGAAGTAATCGTTGATATCTTTACAGCCGGATCGGTCATTCGAATGATGTCGCACATTTTGGGTGAGAAAGCTTTCCAGAACGGCTTGAGGATATATCTGGATAAAAAGTACGTATGTTTAAAACACACCTATAATTCACGGAAGTTACGGAAACAATTATAATTGTTACTTTCACTTAGCAAAACTTTAAAAGAAGTAACTGTGCACCAAGTGTGCACTTTTCAAGATTTAACGTTGAAACTAAAATTATTGCTATTCAGACTAGATTAAAATCAATATTGTTATTTTTAATCAACCTCGTCAGATCAGTTATGCTTCTCACTGTACTACGATACGAACGATAACAATGATTGCAGTAAATTGAAGGCTGCCGACTCGAATATTCTTCTTCAAGATCTTGGAAATGGCACGACATTCGACGGTACTTCGTTCGAGGATATCATGAGCGAGTGGGTGAACAAACCAGGATATCCGGTGGTGAGCGTGAAGAAGGTGAACAATACGTTCGAATTGCGGCAACAACAATTCACACTGTACGAAACTAAGAATGGCACGAAATGGTGGGTGCCTATAACTTACGTCACGGATAACAATCTGATCTTCGATAATACATCTCCAAGCAAATGGTTGAATCCAAAAGAAGACAAACTCGTCATTTCTGTCAGTAATGAAACCAAATGGATTATTGTGAATGTGAAACAAACAGGTTTGTAACATCGCATATATGTCAAATTAATTTGAGAATAGTTTATCTGTTTAGAAATTAATATATTATCTCGATCCGTTTCCCATACGCGGAAGAAGAACGAACATAAAGTGAAGAGACATATATCATTCCTCTAAGTATGTGTGCAAATTGCAAATGCTTTAGAACATGCACGAAACGATCGATTATTGAACCATTGATTGTGATAGAAAAAAGGAACAAAATTATTACATTTTTATTCTAAAATTGTCTCTCGTGTTTATTGTTGATAATCATAACAGTTTAAAAAAATTATATATTTAAATTGATATTATGTCAAATCTCTGAAAAAATTTCCAGCTGAATTTCATTAAATCTTTTATATATATATATATA